TAGAATCCGCCGGCTGAGAAGCAAGTACTATCTCTTCCAAACTTTTCGACAAATCGGCCTCGATTTCGGATAATTTCAAGCGTGCAGCGTCTACAGCCTCATGATCCGGGCGTACACCGAGGGTGTGAAGCACAGATCGGGTCTGAGCAACGTCAGCAACGGCCAAACGCATGGCGGAGATGAGCTTTGGATTAGTGAGGTGGGGCATTTTCTCAGTAAGCTCGAAATAAGGTTCTTGCTCTCCGAGCGGCGTCGACTGCGGTGGATTTTCGATGTCGAAATCGGGGGAGTCGGCAGCGGCGGCAGAAGCAGCAGTGGAGAAAGTGCGTTTAAAGCTTGGAATCTTGGCCATAACGTACGAGAGAATTGGGAAATTCTTCGGATTTGGATCCATTTTTGTTCTCTTAGATTGTAAGAGGGAACTGGGTTTCTCGAATTCTTGTTTGTAGAGAGGGGGGAAAAAAATCAAAAAAGGTCGCACTATTTGTGTTCTTGAGCTGAAATTTGCAGTGGGGATCTTGTGCAGATCTGAAAAATTAATGTGTATAAAGTTGAATTAGCATCAAACGAGAAGCCCGAAAAATTGGAGGTGTCAACAGAAAAACGAAACAAATGGTACAAAACTGAATGTAAAAATTACCACCACAAATTTAAACTAATGGCCACTCAAGTTTGTTCTAAATCGAAAACGATTCTTAGGGATTAGATTGAGTTATGCTCAGATAATGGTAAGTGTTGACCCCAACAAATGTTGTCAGCAGATGTCGGATCCACCGGTGCACGCGTGAGCGAAAGTCTTACACTCTAAGATACGTAGACGGTCTAGGACGAAAGAATCAGGGGCGTGGGAGTAGCTCAACGATGCGGGACGAGAACGTTCGAAATTCGACGGGATGTTCGTAATCCGATTGTACAATAATTACCAATCGGTGCTCATGAATGTGAATGTAAGTATGTATGAACTCGTATTATGTTGTAAAGCAATATGAAAGAGAGTAAAGTGTGATTTCTTGTATTGATTCTTGCATTAGTTCTTCAATGTTTCTTGTATTTATACTTGCTACCTTGCTACGCATTTATTATTTATGCAAAACCCTCATGCTAATGACAAGACTTGACATGTATACTTATGACAAACGTTCCATCAATCATTCTAACAAAATCTTTACGTAGAAAATCTTTTGGGAGAAGTGATCATGAAAGACGTTCCTTCATGGTTCGGAGGCTTCTGCTTCAACTTCGGATTCGGGGCTTCTGCCACTCACGTAGTACTTTCGCTTTAGAGCTTCGACTATCTTCACAAGCCTCGGCATGAAGGGCTTTGACCATACAAACCACCTCGACTAAAGCACCACGTGGTTCGAATTGAGTGGGCCATAGGCTCAAGTAAGTTGGCCAAGTATGATAACACGTAACAGTAAGTGGAAAAAGAATTAGGGATTACTCTCCCTGTACAATTATTATGTACAAGAAAACATAGAATATATGTATCATATTGTTACAATTTGCAAGATTATCTGCGAAGAACCTCGTGGATTTGTTTACTAAATTTTTTTAGCTAATGATTAGATTGAATAGCTGTTTACTGAAGTTAACTAATATTTATAAAATTTTGATAGTTTTCTTTAATATGTATTTTTTGTTTCAAACATCGTACATATTTTGTGTGCTAATCTGTTTATTAACAATATGTTCACAATAACTCCGTACCAATACTTTCTCGATCGAGTCTGTCGTATAGGACTTATCTAGTGCGATTTACATGTCTGGCGTGATTTACAAGTTATTGCGTCAGTCCAATAGTTTACCCAATACGCACTAAAAGGGTAATTACTACGATTTTTCCCATCATTAAAAAATATATATATGTGCACGATAACATTTTAATGGGTGTTGCATCGAATTGGACATTATTTTCACTTTTTGACCATCGAATTGGTAACTTCATTTAATTTTAGCGAACAAATGAGTGAAAGGTACTTCAAGGACCAATGTTATAAAGTTAATTAATTTTAGTGATTAAATAAGTCAAAAAATTCTATAAGAATAAAATTGAAACAATAACGTATAGGTATAGAAAATTTTAAAAGAAAATTTTGACAAATAATACATGAATTGAAATCATTGGAAGATGGGGAAAAAAGACATACGAACTAGGTTTGGTCACATCTGCATCTGTACAAATTTGGTAAGGAATTCCTTGTATTTGCTGCTTTTTTTTCAAATTAAAATGTTGTACAAACAAAGTTAAGTGATTATTTGTGAAATTATTTTCTAAATTATATTTTTCGAGTTTCTCGCTCATTGATATTGACGTTTGTGTTCCGACTTCTACAATGTTGGACATCTAAAATGGGCAATACCCGAAAACCGACTGTTCCAGTCCATTGGGCCTTTCTTAGTAATGAATTCAAGGGGAGTGTTCAGATAAATAACTAACTTTTTTGGTCTCTCTCTTAACTTTTTTCAATTAATCTAGTTGTATAAAACAAGTTAACAAAAATGGTCGAAAAAAAAAATGTTGGCAGAATCTTGACCTTTGATTTCAAATGATTTAAAAAGTATTTTTGAAATGATTGGTGTAGATGTTATTTTGTAAACCAACTCTGTCAACCAATTTTGTACAAGTAACATGACTCAATTTTTTTTTTACCATAAAAAGAAAATAGAAAACTTAAAATTAGGCCAAATAGCCATAACTCGTACTTAATTACTATACTTTGTATTGTACATTAGTTAAAAGGGATTTAATTGCCAGGTAGAATTTTCATCCGTCCCATAAAATCTTTTACCACGTAGACGAATTGAATTTAGTTAGATGATGGATGAGTAACGTTATGTAAAATGATTAAGCAATCGGCAACATTTTATTTTTGAGTGAGAAAGTAGTAACCAAAATAAAGATTGATAATTAATCAGAATTCATTTTAATTAGTAAAAGTCCATTGCTAATAACTTATTTAATTAACTCATCTTAATTAAAACTTATTCTAATCCACCCAGTTATCCATTTCGCATAATTAATCTCATATTAAATATTAATTACCTCCTAATTAATCTCATTAATTACACATGGAACCCCTAAAAAATCCCTCATAGTTGGCCAATACATTGCTTTCCAAACGTCTTTAATACATATTAAATTACAACACCTCTTGCCTTTGGACATGTCAAGCGTAAACATGTGTCTAAAAAAGCCATTTATGTTCAATATTTATCAAATCCATAATAGTTCTCAAGATAATGTTCGATGTGACAGGCCAATTCATAGCATTCTTTGAACCAAGTCGCGTTTTGCTCTATGGGTGATGATTCAAGTACATAATTTTTTATTTTTATTTTTTTTAACAGACACATTACAGAATACACACAACATGAGGCGGGTGGGTAATTTTTTATTATTATTTTACTCACATTGAGGTATCGAAAATTCTGTCAATCCTTGCTCTATACTCTTTATACAACTAAATAGTATACTCAAGTTTACAACATTAACTTAATGTATTTTTAATCGATATTTGACACACTTCAAAAATAGATTGTTGGAAACTAAGTTCCGTGCTCAAATAATAGACTTCAAACTTCGCCAATTACATGACCGAATTCACACGACACAAAGTTATCCAGCGCTCAACGTCCTTGAAATGCCCACTTGTTTAAGTCCATATTTTCTTAAAAACTATTCGAAACATAGAAATGATTATATTTTCCCTTTAGAATCTCCCTATTAAACTATTTAAAATATTATTGAAACAAATTTGAAAGTTGAAAATAATCAAGAAAACATACATAATAAAATTTATCAATTTTATTGTTTATGTTAAAAAGAAAAAGGAAATATCATGATCGTGGACTACAGTCTACACCTATCTCCAATTGTCAGTAAAATATCTAGAATATATTTTCGTTCAAAATATTCGCAAAATAAGGCCTGTTTTCTTTGTGTTTCAGTTTTGTATTTTGAGTTTTGAATTTATTTTGAGTTTTGTGTTTTGAGTGTTCATTTTGAGAATATTAAAAATGCGTTCTTTTTGTTATTTTAGAAAACCATATTTCAAAACGCGAGACTCAAAAGCGCTTTCACTTCGAACCCTAAATTCAACTCTTATCTCTCAATACCGCCACCACTATCAACGATCAACTTCATGCCACCTATGGAAGGTCAAACCACCACTTTCCGGCCACCATAGCCACCGGATCATAGTACCAACTTGAAGCCCGCAATGTTGTCTACAAACCCCACCCAACAGTTGGCCCTAATTCCGGCCAGTCTGGCCGAAAATTCTGCTCAAAATTAGCCAGTCGACCACCGAAATCAACCATCGCACCATCGAAATTTCTGCTAAAAATCAACCACCGCACCACCACGACACAACCATCAACCTAAATCAACCCCATTGCCACCACCATGAACCATCAACACCGTCACCGTCATTGCCACCGCCATCACCATCAACCACTGCCAAAATCTACCAAAATCAACATCATGAGCAGGGAGGGGAGTAGTGTAGAAAATGAAGAAGAAAGGGGAGAAACGCAGAATCCAAAATCAACAAAAATCAACACCACCACCACCATAATCAAAGATACCACCACCAAATCAACCAAAATCAACATGCGAACTTCGCCTTCCCCGAAACCTTAGTCATCGTCGAAGAGAGAGGAGATGGAGACAGGCAAACGAATCTGTAGCGACGCTGCTGTGAACTGTCGCGATGCTGTTGTTCACAGCAGCATCGCCTCCCCACACCGGCGCAGGCATCGGCACTCACCTTCGTCGCCTCCCAACGTGAAGCCGACATCCAGAAGAAGAGGAGAAAGAGTGGGTTGAAGGAAGAGAGAAAGGGATACGGTTTAATGGATTTCTCTCTCCTGTTTTCCGCATTTCAACCTTTTTTGGATTTTGTACAGAAAACATCCAAAACGTCGATTTTGATGTTTTGTGTTTTCTTTACAATTTTTTTTTTGGTTTTCGAGAATTCGTTTTCGAAAACGAAGAAGAGAACGCGTTTTCACTGTTTTCAAAAATCGAAAACAGAAAACGGTTTGAAAACAGCAAAGAGAACATGGCCTAATATTTTTCTTTTGTGAACTCAATTAGTACTATCTATTTAATGTGTTACCGGAAAAAGTAATATAATTACAATAAATTGGTAGAAGAAGAATGAGAGCTGACAAGGAGAAGACTTGGTTGTTTTATTAATTTTAATTTTGAATAAATGAATTAAACAATGAAGATTTTGGTTAGTTTTCTATCTAAATCGGTGTTAAAAGCAAAACAGCTATACTTAATCCATATTCTACGATTTCTTAACGCATCGACTAATAAGTACGTGACGAAATTATTAGTTAAAAAAATTCTACAATCATTGAATATTTTTCTATTCTTACAACCAATCGAAAGTATTAAAGAAATGATCGACGTGCAAATTAAAACATGTCTTCTTGACACGTTTGCCATGTAAATACAAAATTAGCATCACATGAACAATAACACACCATAACAGTGCATTTAACGAATCCTCAATCTATTTCAAAATATGGATGAAAATTGACAAAATATCCGTCCCATCCACAAAATCGGGCCGAGGATGAAAAGCGCTGTCCTCGCTCAAAACCCGGTCCAAACTCCCAACTCTTAATTTTAATTTTATTGTTACACTAATTGGGTACTTTTAAAAATGGT